TCATCAGCATCATTGGGACTCTGCTTCTCCAATTTGAGGTCTTCCCGCACCCTCTCAAACCTTGAGCATGTGTTAGCCCAGCTTGGATGGGCCTCGGGGCTGATTTTCAAAAACCTTGTAATGTTTTTCTGGGGGGTTCTTGGGACACCACGAATCCTTCAAGAATCCTTCCATAGCAGGGGGATGCGCTTCAAAAGCACATGTGCATTTTGGCTGGTTTTGGACTGGGGTACGGGAGCACCCCTTGGAGAAATGGAAGTTCAATAACGCAGGTCACGGCATTGGTGTCCAGCTCTTGGCAAAGCCGGAGCTATGGCTTGCAATTGCGACAGCAACCCCAGGGCGCTGCCCGATTTCAACTTTTAAAACTCTAAACCAATCCCGAACTAGCATCTGAAGCTCTGAACGAAAACCTCTAACCCTTAAATCCTTAAACCAGCAGTCCTATTTACTAGCCGCAATTTACTCCTATCTTAGTAAACCCCAAACCCCACACCCTTAGCCCCTCCCTGAACGGTAAACGCTGGACTCCCCTAAACCCTAAACCCCAAACCCCAAACCCTAAACCACTAAACCCTAAACCCTAAAGCTCTTAGCCCAGCCTGTCAATAAAGAATGCTGGAATCACCTCGTGCTCAGATGTGCTGAGCCAGATGAGATTTGGATCCCGGCTGTAGCTTGGCTGGCGAGGGGCGAGAAGCTGTTAGGGTTTGAGGGCCACGGGTCCCTTTACGGGTTCTAGGTGCTTTTTGGGAAATGTGATGAGGGGTGTAGGATTTAGGTTTAGGGTTGCAGGATTCGGATTTAGGTCCAGGGTTGATTCTAAGGATGTAGGTTTAGGATTGGAGAAAATTGGTGGACAATTCGCTGGAGCTGTGTCTCCGGTAGAAACTTAACAGCTGCGAGCTACTCGCTTACTACTAAGTTGCTACTAGTCCATGCTAGCATGTGTCCTGAAAAAACATTTTAGTCAGAAGAGCCTCTATGAATCCTGTTGGTCTCGGAGACCACAACCCTTCCCACCCTAGACTCCTTCCCACCCTAAAACCCTCCCAAGGCAAAACCCGACTACAATTATAGTACTTGTTATTGCTACCATGATTTCTATCATTATTGCGGGTTATTAGCAATTAGCAACCCCGAGCCTGCGGCGGCTGGAAAACGATAGTGGTGATTGCAGAACCCATGGCTCTGATCTTGCGAAAGCTCCGCTGCTTTCAGACTGATATCAAACGCTGCGCTGGATTATTCTAAACTTACCAACGGGACAATTTGCTCCACAAAGGCACACGCAGTGACTACTGGTGACTTCACCCCACTCGTCTCTGCACCAATGCTCCAGCCAATGTAGGTTTTGGGCCGAACAGTTGCAGAAGCGAGCTGCATGCGGGGTCGGGACTGAAGGAAGAGCAAAAGGGCTATTGTATAAACCCTACTATAACCCTAATCTAAACCCCAATACAACCCCAATAACCCCAGCATACAACCCTAATACAACCCCAGTCTAAAGCCCCAATACAACCCCAGTATAAAACCCTAATACAACCCCAGTATAAAACCTTATATTTGGAGTCTGACCAGTTCAAGGCTTGTCCCGAACCTTGCCCCTGCAAGGCATGGCAACTTTCACACGGTCTACACTTGGGATGCTGCCCAGGCTCGATGAGGTTTAGGGTTTGGGGGTTTAGGGTTTGGGGGTCTAGGGGTTCAGGGTTTAGGGTTTAGGGGTTCAGGGTTTAGGGTTTAGGGGTTCAGGGTTTAGGGTTATGGCGGCTTAACACCCACAATATTTCAGTACAATTCGTCGAGAAGCAACCGAACAAATGGAAAATCCAATGAAACCTGGGGCTGTGAATTGCGTGGTTGCCATAGGGTCAATAGAGGAAAGCAACGCACCTGTGTTGTGTCCGCTGCATGCAACACTCAAATTGAACTCGATGATGAAAGATCCCGATTCATAATGAGCTTCATGAAAGCTTGTGAACGTGTGATGTCAGCAAACCCCATCAATACGGTAATGTCGCAACCAACACGAAGACATCAACAACCGCGACAACTAGGCTGGTAATACTGGCAGCGAGAATACAAATTCAAACTCATGAGGTCATGCAGATCATGATCCCGACAGCGAGCATCTGCCACTGAAAGCCAGAACCCGAAACTTAACAAAACGGCTTAGGTGATCCCCCGATCCAGTAATCATGAACCACACATGAGGGTTACTACATATTCCTGCCCTAACACTGTAAGCGGGTTGGAGGTCCTTCTGCACCCAAACCCCCAATCCTCAAACCACATGCTGCCCAACCCTAAACCCGAAGTCCTAAACTTTTCAATGAATTTGGCCTTAGGGTGTAGGGTTCAAACCAAACTCGTAGAAAACAAACGGAAAAGACATGTGTCAAACCTACACCTATGCTGTCTTCTAAGGCCGCCAGGACAAGCCTATGTAGTCCTTAAATTGCCGAAAAGGCGAGTGAGCTGCGAGATTCTTTTTGGTTGACCCAAGTATAAGTATACTGTATTCCTCTGACACAATACTATACATACAAATGAATATACGCAAAATGGGATTCCTACTGAGGACCCTGTAAATTCATCAAGAATAAAATGGATTGCATGCTCTTTTCAATTCTGCCGTTCCCTGCTAACCACAAGTAACCCTGAACCCCTGAACCCCGAACCCTACACCACCATGCGTGCCTTGATGAGCCAAGCACTAAAGCGGCCCTTTCGGGTGTAGCGCACGTCCGCTGAAGAAGTCGAAGTCTGAAAGCTCAGGTTGTTTGATTTGGGCCTTACTCTGTGGAGAGGGATACCTTATTGGGGGTCCCCACAATACGGGCGATAACATCTTTAGGTCTATATGGGGGTCCCCCTATTTGGGGGAAACTACCATGCGGGGGTTCAGGGTCTAGGGGCTGAGGGACTTCAGGGGTTACACTCCCCAAACCAACATGGAGCCGGAAGAGGTGGTTACGTAGATTACTGTCCCTTAAAGAGGGTGCTATATGGGCTTTTTGGGGGAGAGTAGGGTTCGTGGTTCGATTGAGGTGTGGGGTTTAGGATGTGTAAAGGGCCGTCAGTCTTGCGTTTCAAGGGCGAAGGCGCAAGTGTGGCATCTGTTTGGGTTTACGTTTAGGGTTTAAGGGCTTAGGGTTTGAGGGTTTTGGGTTTGGGGTTTTGGGTTTTGGGTTTTGGGCACAATTTTGGGGCTTGAGGAACAAACAATAAGTCTGGAGTTCAACCTTTGGAGCAAAATATGTGAATAGGCACATACTACTATTATCATTGACGCAGGCTCTACAAAACATTAATGCGATTATGGAAATCTATTGTGGAAAGTTTTGGGATTCGGACTGGGGGAGCACCCTTCAATGCTCCCAACACTCAGTGAGATTCATAGCCTTTCCAAGAAGTACAAAGTCTACGATGGGATCAGTGAGCGCTTGGGGGTACAGCCTTTAAGCATGTAGGATTTCTTGCAACCCTAAACTCTTATAAGCCCTATAATCCCAAAACCCTAATGAACCCGAAACCGTAAACCCTAGACCTGATGTGGAAGAAAACAACTTCAAGCCCCCGACTTGCTGAAGTTCCTGCACCCTGCGTGCTTCAATAACACCTCAGGCAACCTTTCGCAGGGTTTTAAGTCAAGTGGCTCAAGTGACTCTAGCGGCGCTGGTGCTTACCTACACCACTAGAGCCAACATTATGAAGCCGAAATCACTTCGCTTCATCTACGCTCCTGCCGTTGCATCCCTAAGGCTTCCATGAAAAACTGGGTTGCTGTTAAGGAACTTAAATCAAATTACTATATTGGGGAAACCCTATTATTTACTATATATACCCATTATGGTAACTTAATTTAAGTTCCTTAACAGCAACCCAGAAAAAAATCAATGAAGCCTTTCGTGCAGGAGCTGGTGGAAATCCATACATTGAAATGTTGGTCCACAGATTTCTGGCAGCTCCGCCTCGGTACAGCACTCACACGAGTTGGGTTTAGGGTTTAGGGTTTAGAGTTTAGGGTTTAGGGGTTTAGGGGTTGAGGGGTTTAGGGGTTTAGATTCAAGATTGAAAGCATGTAAGGCTTAAGTTCCACTACAATCCGGAAGAATGATTGGTAGTCCTGAGCAAGCCCAGACAATTTTCCGCCACCAAACAACTGCAAAAACTCACACTACTGAATATTCTTGAAATCTTCCTCAAAACTCCCATCCTGGTTGTCGTAAAATCCTTATGGCTCTCGGAGTGGTGGAAAAAGTAATAGCAGGAGTAAAAGACGAAGTGAACTAAAAGTTTATGGAGGAGGGAGTACGGCAGCAATATTCATTGTGGTAGAAGGAGGAATAAGAGTACTGGCAGCGGTCGTAGGAGGTGCAACCAAGCCAACTGGGACAAATGGAACACTCGTACCAGCAGCAGCACCACAACATTGTAACAATCGCGGCACGCGCGATACATGCTAAGAAACAAGAAGCAGGGACTCTGTCGGAAAAAAACCTTTTACAAGAACTCCTGACATTGCTCTCCACATCTATCCACATGCTGCGACCCATCCACAGTGCGAAGTAGCCCCTCGAACCACGCTGTGCTAACGAAGCCGCCAGATTTCCTTGCACAACATTGCAAGGCTTTCCGTTTGAACAACAAGCTCAGGTGATTCTAGGCTGGGATTCCTAGCTTCGAATGATCCGCTTTGGAGGGATTTATCCGATATTTGCATCATGACTGGACCAACCCATCCTACAGCTCTCAACAGAGCAACAGCAACGTTCGGAGCCCGGAACCTCAAACATCCCAGTTATCAAATCTCGCCGGTGCAGGGACTCACACAAGGTTTTCCACGGCGGCAACAAACAAAGCAAAGAATGCACATGTTTCTAAGCACACTTTTCTCCAAAAAGTCCACGTTACATGTGTTTTGGCTGGTCGGCTGTACGTTCTTTACCAACAAAAGGGAACAATGTCGATCAGCACGGTCGCATTAGTTATTCCATCACGAGATCAACGTATCTTCCAACAAAGTATTCATCCAAATGTGAACCTTCTGGGTGCATGTCACAATCCAAATGCAAGGAAAAGGTTTGTGTCTGAACATCCACGCAAGCACTGACGCTAAGCAAGCTTTGCGATATTTCCAAAAAAAGACACATAGAGAAACCATGTCCTCCACTCGAGGGACCGAAATTTCACCTAGCCAACATTTGAGAAGCAAACACGGTCTGCAAACAATGGCTTCATTGTTCACAACCCAACTTAAACGCAACAACATGCATCAGGCTAGCCTTGGAACTTGCAATGTCAAATTACAATATAGAACATGTTTGGCAAAGGATTGCCAGGCGTCGGACATGAAAATTCCGGCGAACCCCTCTTTTATTGAACCCATGAACAGACCACATTGGCAACCATGCCCCTCACAGCTCAACAATTGACGCCAAGGCTCTGCAGCTTGGCCACACATGAAAATTTCTTGAGCCACAGCTGCGAAACAAAGAACCGAGTGCAACCCTGTTTTCACGTCCACGGACTGATGACAGCGCTATTTTTGATTACAACGCATATGTTACAAAAAACGTCCACAAAAAGAGCACTCCATCTGGCATAGAGCATGTGACCTGTTCAACAGCATGAAACCGGTGCCCTAGAAATCGTTGGACGCCGAAAGAATTCATA